GATTTTGTATCAGATTGCCATTCCTGGAAATGGGATTCCTTCAAGGTTGTTCAGTGAGTGTAACAGAGCCTAACATACCTTGGTAGCGGAGCCCCTTTACAAGCAGCTGCATTTGTACTTCCCTGTGGGCAGTTCTGTACCACTCTGTCTTTGCTTTAGCCCAGTGTGTTTCTAATGCTTCCATGAAATGAGTCTGCCAGGCTTTCAGTTGCTCATTAAAAAGCCCGAGGGAAGGACCCTATGGGAGTGGCTTCCTTTAATGTCTTTGCTTTTTTAATATTGGTTTTCCAGTATGCAGAGTCAGGCTTGGCTTCGGCATGGGTGGAGGAGCTGTAACACTTGGTAGTTACCAAATCCTGCGTGTCCCCTGTTGAGTCACAGGGTAAAGTGTCTTCTTTTGACTGGAAGAGTCCCCTCTCCCCAGGAAACCTGGAACACAAATGTGTGCAGGTCTCACCTTTGTTGTCAGTCATTAATCCACTTATTGTACAAGTGACTATCTTGACGGTGGCTTTCCTGAAACCCAGTGTCTTTGAAAAGGTACATATGGAATTTGCTGTAGCTCTGCTGGCTTTTGTTCTACGTGTTTCTGTTCCTGTGTGGAAAGAGTAGACATGGGGTTTTACTTATTATGCTTCTACAGACGTGGTGCACTCTGTTAACACTAACGTCAAAGTGTTTCCTGTAACATGGTTTTCAGCTTTTCATTGTGTGTTGAAAGGGCAATTGAGAGGACTCCACAAATTCAAGCACTTTCCAGTGACTGCTTTTAAAGTTAGTTGCAAATGGGAGTTAATATTGCTTGAAAAAGCTGCCAGTCTTTGGGGCTGTCATGCCTTTGAGTGATTCTCTTTTTTTAAAGAATAAAAGTAATACTGTAAGTGTTGTACGTGTAAGGTGCTTCAAAATAGCATCCTTGGCCCCAAGAGCTGCAAATTCTTTGCGTTCCTGTATAGGTCTCAAACCCTCTGATGGATGAAAAAGCAGGCCTGATTGCCTGCAGTGGTATAGTTACTGCCTCTTGCTAATTTTGTCCAGCCTGCTGAAAGTGAGTCTAGTATTCTGTATACAGAAAAGGCCAAATGTCTGTCTTGTTTATATATTAATGCTGACCCATTTAGAGGAGATTCTAGATTAAAATCTGGCTGGTTATCTGTCCTTTTTTTGTAAACTGACAAGTTTATTGGGTCAATGCAAAGAGGGTTTAACAAAACAGAAACAAGGTGACCTTATCCCTGTTTGTAAATAGGGAGGCATTTGTCCTGTGTGAGTAGAGGCAGAGCTCTCAAATCATAGAATCATAGAATAGTTTGGGTTGGAAGGAAACTTTTAAAGGAACCTTCTGAGCTTACAATGGTGGAAGCAACCACCAGGTGACTGGAAACATATCCCATGCCCCTGCCTGGAAATCTAGATGTTTTAGCGGGCTGGTTAGCTCAGTGGGGTGAGCGCAGTGCTGAGAACACCGAGGTCCCAGGTTCGATTCCTGCTCGGTCCACATGTGTTGCCTGATCTAGTTGAGAGGTGGCGTCCCTGGCCCATGACAGGGAGGTTGGATTAAAATGATCTCTGAGGTCCCTTCCAGCCTAGGCTGTTCTATGATATATCCTAGGCCTTGAAGAGCAAGTCTTATGGTGATGCGACATCTCAGAAAGAATTGAGTCAGGTGATGACACTCACTTCCAAAGCAACCACATAGACACCTGGGCCAAAAAAACCATCATGTTGAATATTTTACAACCGCTGTGATTTTTTGGGAAAATTGAACAATACAACAGGCTGTGAAAGACTACCTGGAGAGCTGTGGGTGGTGGAACCTTCCAGCGTTGGGGTACATATTTAGTGAAGCCATGTGGTTAGGTAATGCTAGAGGATCTGTCAGCTGAGCTGGCCCTGCACAATCAGAACCTTTCCATGCCGTGGAAAGGGATATAGTCCCTGTACATGGTGCACATAGACGTGTTAGGGAAAACAGAAGAAGGTCTGGGTTGTTCCTACCTCAGGCAAAGGCAAACCCATTTGTGGGATTGCTTTTGCTCAAGGACCTGGATGCATTTAGTCCAGTGTGTGCCTCAGGGATTTGATTTTTGGGTGACAATAGCCGATAGATTGTGAATAGCTGCATTGCCTAAAGGGATGGGACCCTTTAAAAGGACTCTTTTAGGATGAGACCCGTTGCTTAGTTAATCACTGCAATAGTAGTGCCAACTTTGTTAGCTTTACACAGACTAATCTGAATTTTGGGGGGTAAAGATCCTGACAAATACGTGAACCTCTGCCACACGTTTGAAGTGTATATATTCAGTGCATGTGCATTTAGATTGTCTAAAGTGGAAAAATACTAGTTCACAAGTGTCAAAGTGTAATCCTGCCTACCAGCGCTGATTTTTCTGGAAGTAACTCCAAGCTAGGGTGCTTTTTCAAGGTAATGATGGGATAAAAAGAGATATTGAAGTATCAGGAAAAATGTGGCGTGTTTGTGAGCTGAAGATTATGTGGGAGAGAAGACTGCCAGGGAGATACAGCTTAGTTGGATCAGTTATATTGAGTCACTAGTGCAATGACTAATCATGCCTGGTTTTATTTTTAACAATTTCGCTAAAAATGTGAAAGCTGTAAACAGGAAACTTGTTTAAAATCCAGGCAGCAGTAAGGTCTTGGGTAACTTTTCTATCTGTGTCTCCAGTAATCTTCTAAATAGAACAGTGAAAGGAAGATGCCAACAGAACTTCTGGGAGACAATTTGCTTGAGCACCTGGTTTTCCTTGAGTCAATGATTGTTCAGGAACTTGATCTGCTCTTCTGCTCATTTCACCTTCCCTGGAGAAGCCGTTGCTGTAGTTTGTCTGTTGTTTTCTACGTGGCTGGTAGTAGTGTTTGGTGAAAGTCTGCTAAGTGTGGAAGTGAGATAACATACTACAGCTTAACGTTGGACTCAAACTCTTCCTTGAGATGCAGATGTCATCTTCTAATTAGAAGAATAAACAGCTTTTTGTAGCCCACTCCTCTCTCCCTTCTACTGTGAAGCTCAGAACTGGAAAAGAAAAACTTCAGGGTTGTCAAACATTAAATGTCTCTTCCTTCCTCACCCTCTGTTTTCCTGCAACGCAGATGGTTATGGTTGCAGAAATTTGCAGCTTTCCAGCACGCTGTTAATCAGTCGCTGATGTCAGGCTTGTTTTCTTCCAAGGGGTTTTGGTGTTGCTGCACTGAGTACAGAAAGTACTTCTGAGGTTTTGTCTTCCTGCTTTGAACAAGAGCAAGGCCTGCCCTCTTGGAGGATTTTCTGCGTTGGACGTGGCAGCCCCCTTGGTTTGTTGTGCTTATAGTGAATCCAGTTCTAACTGTAAATATCACTTACATTTTTTTGATTACAGGCTGAAAGCCGTCTCTTTTACTGGCATTATCAAATTCTTGTAACAAGCCTTGATGTGTGTGCACTAGTGTTAATTAGGTGGCTGTATCTGAGCCTCCTGGTGGCTCTCACCATCTTGCTGAAGTGTGATATGTTGTAACCTCTCAAAAAAAGCAAGTGTGGGAACTAGCGTCACTGTTTGCAAGCTTCCATCTGTGGAAGTGAGCTGCCTTGAAGCCTGAGCAAAAGTACCGGAAAACTTTTATCAGACTGGCTTCACCCTTCAATAACAGTGTCAATGCTGCACAAAGTTGAGAACAGTAGCCTGTTACTTCTAGCCTTTCAGATATGAAGAGCAGTTTTTGTAACTGGGAACAATGTTACTGTCTTGCAAACATGGTGGCTGTGTGGTCTTCTGGAAGTTCATCCCTTGGCTTTCCTCTAAACTTGCAGATTTTGCGTTGTTTCTTTCTGTCTATCTCTACCCATGAAGGTGTATTTGGATACTGCAGATAAACTGATATACCATCGGCAGCTGATCTAGTCTGGGATCTGTCTGTAGGCAGGAGCTTTGGTGCAGATGGATCAGAGTTGAAGCAGTTATGACTGAATATACAAATCAATTGCAGTGTCTGCGATAAGTTTCCTGTAAAAATTTGTGTTCTTCCCTCTAGCCAGGAGATGCAGCCTTATCAGTAATAATTGGTTTGCTTTTCTTCTGCTCACAGGATAACTCGGGTAGCACGTGGACCCAGAGGGTGGCAGTCTACTGAAGAGTAGCAATTATTTCTAATTGGAAGAAAAAGTGACATTGGTAAGACTTGACTTGTTAGTTGCTCTCTTGCTTTGGTTACCCATGTGGCTGAGGAAAGACCCAAAGGAAAGCCTGCCCCTTCAGTACAGAAGAAATGTCCCTGTAATAACTGCAGACAGCTACCTGAACCATGTTCAAAGAGCTAGATCACTTTAAAATTTTGATTTCAAGCTGGAAGGGTATTGTTATATTGTGGAGTTCTGTAATTCTTTCCCTCATCCTACTTCCTTTACTCTGAAGCCCTTGAAAGACTAGATATTAATCTAGTCCTTCAGCTGCAAAATTAAAGTGAATTAAAAGAAATGCTGAACTCACTGTTACGTAAAGTGACCACCTTAAATACATGCAGAAGCTATACGAGTGTTCTCGTGGTGCAACACGGTGCACTAACACAGTGGTTCTTTCAGGTTCTCCTTTTCAAGCCTGACTTGTACATCTGGGAAGCAGCACGCATCCAAAGCTGCTTCTGGGTCTTTATAGCCTGGCTTTTCACTCAACTTCTATTTGAGCTGGATCCTCTTGGCCAAGATCCTGGAAGTATTGACTGTGCAGACCGTAGGGTCTGACACCTGACACTTGCAATTCTAGTGCAGCACTGATTAGGAATAAATCTCCAACTGATCATTCGGTTTTTAATTCCTTGTTGTGGTTACTGCTTTTAGAGCAGTACAAAATAAAGTTCCTTTTAAGGTGCTAGTCTGAGTTGCTGTGCTAGGATTCTTGAAGCAATGTTAACTGACAAATTTAGTTGGTTAGCACAGTCTTATATTTAACGTGGCAATCGATATTCATATCCAAGCTATAATGTTGTTTATTGTTTCCAGGCTCAAAATGAGTGGGATGTTGGAAACCCCTGAGCTCCCGGCGGTGTTTGATGGGGTGAAGCTAGCTGCAGTTGCTGCTGTTCTGTATGTTATTGTTCGCTGCTTGAATTTAAAAAGCCCAACCGCCCCTCCTGAACTCATTTACCAGGACTCTGCTTTGGCCCGCTTTCTACTCAAATCCTGCCCACTTCTGACCAAAGAGTAAGTAGTATATTTTTTTCTATGTTGACCCGTTACAGGGAGAAGAGCTGCACTTAACCATTCTTCTGCCTAATGTGTTTCTTAAACATGAGTGTAAATAAGTGTCAGGATAAATAAACATGTTTGAAGTGAAGCATTTCAGTTTTGTTAGTGTCCCAGGTCTCTGGGTGTAGGACCAAGTCTTGTTGTGCAGGGCTCTCCATGGATGTAAGGAAGACGTTCTCCTTGCCCCTCTGTCTAGCAGCTGTATGCTGAGACTGTACTAGACCAGCACTATACACCCTACTGTCTGTGGAACATGGGAGCAATGGATGCAGTCAGCATTTGTTTCTCTTAGTGTACTCTCCTTTCTACTAGGGAGCAAATCTGTCAGGGCTTGCTGGAAGGAAAGGTTTTCATGGTGTGTCTGTGCACTTAAAACTAATGGCCATCCCTGCATTCATTATAAAGTGCCTGCTCTCACTTGAAGTGCCTTAAGTTGACTGAAGACTAATGAAATCTATTGCTGAGTAGAGCGCATCACCATAACTTGTTTAATGAAGTAATGACATACTGGCCAGTTCTAAGCCTGCTGAATACACTTTCAAAATCACCTCATGTCAGCTTTGTATTTGAGCAGGCTGATCCTCACACTTTCGTTCTAGGACCACCAGAATCAAAGCAGCTGCCCTTACCCTCACCAATAATATGAAGCATTTACTACAATTTCATGAAGCTTTGGAGGGACAAGGACTTTGATTACAGCATTTCTCTTCTGCAATCACTTTGAAAACTTGCAAGTTCTATTTAGAGCCCTAAATACATCAATTATCTTGTAAGCACTGAGTGCAGCTGCATGAACCTTCCTTTTGGATTTCCAAAGTCAAGCTGACTTAATAATAGTTGTTCTAGGGGAGATGAGAGGCTTTTAGCAGTGCTGTGTTAGGTGCCTTAATTACATAAGGTGTAAGATCTTAAGCCACAGATTCTGTAAACTTAGAGGAAACAAAGCATTATCTGTTCTAAATTGGAGCCCAAAGAGGGCTCCCTGATGCACTCAGTGTGTGGTAGTAACATAAGCATGTGGCGAAGCTGAGCGCTGAAATTGGATTCTTGATTATGGCTAGTGCCTTAACTGCAAAGCAATTGCTTCCGTAAAAAATACCAAGTAACTAGAAGCCCTGTAGCATATCTTAGACTCTTATCTCGGTGCTGGCACTCCAGACTGACATGTTGCTAGGAACTGAAAGTGCAAGCATGAAGCTGTGCCAAGTACCAGTCTTGAAGGCATATTAGTATGAGTCTAGTCTTTGGAAACAGACCGTGAGCTAATTCAGAGTCCGTTTGACTTCTCTTCCAGCTCTGTTCCTGTGACACGAGCTCCTAGCACTACTATATGAGAAGCATGTTTTTGACTTTCACTAAGCTGGAGAACAAAGCATTCCCAAAGGAGTAAAAATGCAGAACGTGTCTAAAAATTGCAGTACATCTGCTGTGCATTAACTGCAGGAGTGAAGAGCCTCTTGCAGAGCTCTGGTATTATGCTGAGAGTGTACGATCTCAGGTGGTTTGCTTTGTCTGGATCAGCTCAGAGCTTAGGATTGCCAGTTTATCTGAAAACTGTAGCAATGGTCTCCAGCACATGGTTCTTGGGCAAAACACTGCCTGAAAGTGTGACCTCAGGAAACAAACTCTGCTGAAACAGGCTAGAAAAAACCCCTGTCAATAGGTAGTTGTTCAGTCTGTTTACCTGTATACCTGTGTTAGGGGAGATGAGAATATAATTGCTGTTGGAGATTGAAAGGGTTTACAGGAAAAACAAGTCTCTAAAACTATGTATATGTGGGTTTTTTGTTTGTTTGGTTTTGCTATTCTATTGATGTTATCACACACTTTTTTCAATACAGAGATTTAAAACAACAAAAAAAAATTATCAAATCCTGTCCTCAGGCATGAAAGTCACCTGGAGACTAAAGGAGAACAAATATATTTAAATCCTGCAATTATGCATGGAATAGTTTGTGGGACTAATTAGCAAAAAGCAATGTGAAAACAGCTTGTGCCATACTCCACTGAAAAATCTTGCAAGGCTTTGATTACATGCTAATTATTCAGAGTGTTAGGAAAGCTGATTAAGCAGCTCTTTTCAAATTCTACCATGAAAGCAAAATAAGTAGCCCAGCAATCCCTCCTGTTCTATCAGCACTGGATTTGTTGTAAGATCTAAGACCAGTTCTTCCGTACAGCTGTGAACTGGCTTTCAGACCTGGTTCGTTCAGTTCCCTTATACTTAAGGGAGGAAGGGGTGAGGATAGTGCTGTGGAAAAAAACAGAGTGACAGGGAGAAAGCAGAAATATGTGAAGTTATTCTCTCTCTGCAGCTGTTCAAAAATACTTGGAAAAAACACTTTTGGATTTTTATTTCCCCTTTCATAGCAGCATCCTCACCTATGGATTTACTCAATACATGGTAACTGTAGTGTCATTCAGTAAGCCAAATGGTGTGGGCTGAATAATTTAAGAGCTTTGGAGAGTAAAACTGCCTGAGATGGCTGCGTGCCAGGTACCTTGTACTTGCAGATGTTAGTACGGCTTTTTACAGTCCTCTAAACTGCGAGAAGCTTTCTGTGTATCAATCAGACACTGCTGAGCAACATGCTCTCTCTTCTTGGAGCTCATGTTTTCTTAGCTCTTCATTTCCCTTCCTCTCCCCCTGTCCAGCTCAGTCCTTCGGCTCACCAGGTGCAGTAGCGTGATGGGACCCCTTTTCATTCGAAGAACTGCTACTTGCCAGTTGGCACAGCCAGTGATGCCCGCGAGCACTCGGGCCTAAGCCCTGGCTGCAGCTGTCTCCTTCTCCTCTCTTTCACATTGGTACAGAAAGTGCCATCTGCTCTCTTCTTCCTGTAGAAATGGAGCATCGGCTCTCTGATCCATGAGGACAAATTTGTCCAGTGCTTGCTGTGCTGGACTAGATGTTTTTAGGCGGTTCTCAATTTCTCCTACTGTCAGGTGTATGTGTGTAGATTTATTCCCTTAGAGGCACGGCACGAGTGTCATCCTTATCGAAAAATAATTGTCCTTGCAGTCTGCACACTTTTATCATTAATGAAGGCAGGCTCATCAAAGATTGAAGCAAATGACTGTCAAGCGTGTTAGTAAACGCTGTCAAAGATCCAGCCTAGATACTTTTTATTCTTTGTTTGCACAGTAACCTGTACTGGATAAGCAAGCTGCCTGGTACCAGAAAGCTCTTTTTGTGCTGTCATTGCTTTTCTTCTAGATACAAGGAGACAAGTAGTCAGAAAAGCTGTTTTCAAGCTTCCTGTCAACTCCTTAGTGTTTTACCCTGGGAGAAGCACTTCCAGGAGAATAATAAACTAGAACAACAAGTGTTTTTTCTGAAGCTTTCACAGGTGAATGTGTTGAGAGGTAGGGAAGAATGGCAGCTCGCTGCTGCTAAGCTGAGTTATTGACCTTGGGGAGAGAAGCAGCCTGGGGGTAGTTCTAGTCCTTGCTCTTCTGTGGTGTTGGCAGCAGCATGTGTTCTCCAGCTCTTACCAGCAAAAGAGACGCGCTGTAATACTTGTGCCTTGTTTTGACTAGAATTTTTCTTGTACTCACTGAAGGTTGAGGGAGGGGTATGATGGACGCTTTACTACACAAAAGCTGCCTAAATTGGGAAGGAGGTGGTTTAACCAAGGAGGCCAGTCTGCTTTTTAAATAGTTCTGACCTCATACAGTTTCTGTGGGTGGCAAACACCTCTAGTACACTTACGTTGACTTCTTTTTCAGAGGCTCAGGAGACATAGAAGTTCCCTAAGCTGTTTTAAATTTTTGCTGTTAAATATTTGCTTTGCTGTGTCTTCATCACATTGAAGAGTCTGGCTGAGCTAATACAGAAAAAGCTGCTTTCTACATATTTGGGGGGAGGGTATTGAACCCTGCAGATTTCTGGACGAGCTTTCTTGATTGGAATTTGAATTGCCTTCCCTAATATCTAATGAGGGACAAGATTCAGACAAGGTTTGATTTGTAAAGCAGCCTTTTAAATATCTCCCAGATATTTATTCTCCCCTTTGCTCTGCAAAGGGGGAAAACATAACCTGCTGCCTATTATAATGCAGGCAGCAGTTTTCAGGGTGTCCCACTGATAGGGACAAATTGTAGGCTCTGCTTTCTTGCCATCAGCGTCCAATATAGTGCAGCCCCTCAAAGGTGATGTAAGAGTTAATGTTTAAGGTGTTAAACTCCTCAAATGGAATGAAGTAATGCTCCAGAAATAAGCCTGTTGCTGAACTTCCACTTCAGATCTTTGAGGACCCGAATGCTGATGCTTGCTAATAAAAATAGCACAGTTTTTATGTGCTTTATGTGAGCTGCTTATACAGCTGCTGCTTTCCTAAATTCCTGCATACTGGCTGATGTACATGCTCTAAAATTATAATCTGCTGCCTGAGAGCTGCTAAAATTTAATCCACAATCACATGCTGGGATTTTTTTTAAATACTAAAATGCTAAAAGAATGCTTGTGAAACACCTAAGACTTGTTTTGCTTTTGGGCACTGTTGTGGACAGCCGTCTATCAGAATGTGGGGCTGTGTTGCACAGCTGAAATGCAGTGTTTGGAGCTAATACATTAGCATTTGTGAGCAGATTTATGTAACTGGCTGTGAATTCACTTTGCTAGTTAGGATTAAACTCTATACTTGTGCCCTGTCAGTCCATTTCTGTTTTCCTATTACTGAAAGTTACACGGCTGGCTACTGGAAGCCATAACTAGCTGCCTCAAATATTTGTCTTCACTGAGAGTACCTGGTATCTATTGCAACTGACCAAATCAGAACGGGAAAATGAGTCAGTTAAAAGCCTTTCAATCTGGAGCAAAATGGAAAGCCATTTTTCTTCCACAGAGACTAAGATTTATTTATTTATTTATTATGTTTGTTTCCAATCCAATGCAGCTTTGCTGCCAGATCTCCTATGTTACTTGTACTTGCTTGTCTGTGCTGTTGCGGTAC